CTCACTAAGCTGTTATCACATTTCATCTGACAATTGTTGAAAATAGTGATTAAATCAGAGAGATATATTTTGAGTAATAAAGGAAAAAATCGAAATTTGTAGTCTGTCTTATTAGTTTTTATAAATAAGAAAAGACACACAGTGTGAATACAAAACAAGTATTGTCGTACAGTGATCGGAATTTTTTTATTTGAATTATGTATTTAATTATATAAATATCTAATAATATCATATCAATTCGATCTGTTTACTATTATTTATTCATCTCACTGCTGTTCTGTTCGCTATATCCAACTAAATGATTGACTAATTTTCATTGGTCAAATATAGTCTTTGTCTCAGAACATAGAACAATGCTATAACTATAAAAAGAAGGAAAGAGAACGAGTGCAATTCATTTTAAAGATTGACGCGTCAGTTGTAACATATCGTCGTACTCATGTCCGACATGATGAGAAACATCTTTGACGAGTTTAAATAGGGAGTTATTAAGAAATCCACCTTTCCATTCACAATATTTGAGACTTTTCTGAATCTTTCCTCCGCGCAAGATGTTTATTCAGACATCCTAGATTATTCGTAAAATGTGCTAGGACAATCGATCGTCACTCATAATCTTCTGAGTTCTATTGAACAAGATAAACGACACTCAATATCTTAATGTCTTGTAATTTAAGTAGCAAGAACGTTGACATGGAAATTTCTATGACTAACATGTTAGTATACATTGAATATTGATACGTGCTATATATGATATAAGTATATGATCTAATCCTCAGTGTTGTTTCATTTAAAGTGAGGAAAATAGTTATGTTATTGATTTTGATCAGCTTATAATATTTTTCTGATTTTAAATCACTTCCTAGATTTTTTGCTGTATTTACCTTCCACACAATCGCCATAGTATACTAAGAGTGCCAGAGTAAACACAATCTTACAGTACGGTTCAATCGTTAACAAAGGATTAAAGTGATTTTTGTTGTTTGAATAATACAGATTCTTACAGAGAAAGAGTAATATAAATAATTAGACGAAAAGGTCAGAAATAATAAATTTGAGATAGTTAAATACTGTTCGACAAATTTATTTCAATTTTAATTATCTGTTACACTGAAAAAAAATGGTACGACACCGAACCCAAAAGTGTATTTTGGACTAAAAAAAGGTTTTGTGAATAGTACGAAACCTTAAAGGATTTCGATTTCGTTTCAATTCTCTGAACCCTTTTAGGTTTCGTATATAGAACTATGAAACACTTGAAAAAGTATTCTAAGTCTATGACGATTATTTTCAGGCAACCGAAGTTTTTACGAAACCTTTTTGAGGGTTCCGTAGTCATTTTAAAAAGGGTTTGGTAATCATACTAATTTTTTTCTAATGCACCGAACCATTTTTGAAATAAAGACGGAGCCCTCAAAAGGTTTCGTAAAAAATTCGGGTGCCTGAAAATAATCGTCATCGACTTAGAATACTTTTTCAAGTGTTTCGTAGTTCTATCTACGAAACCTAAAAGGGTTCAGAGAATTGAAACGGAATCGAAATCCTTTTATGTTCCGTACTATGCACGAAACCTTTTTTTAGTCCAAAACACCCTTTTGGGTTCGGTGTCGTACCATTTTTTTTTTCAGTGTACAATTTAAGTGACGTTTCTTTCTTCTTCGAAGATGATCTTTTCAATGTTTCATGAAAATCATACAAATAAATTAATCACGAAAACAAAACAAAATGGAAGAAAAATAGAACAGGCTATATATTTCCTTTGGTCTAATTTCATAGTGGTACAGAAACCAAGACGGTTATAATACCGATCAGGTTGGCGCGATTCTTTTACGTACCACTATGGAATTAGACTAAAGAAATATATAGCCTGTTCTATTTTTCTTCCATTTTGTTTTGTTTTCGTGATTAATTTATTTGTACGATTTGTATGAAACACTGAAAAGATCATCTTCAAAGAAGAAAGAAGCGTCACTTAAATTGTAATAAATAATTAAGATTGAAATAAATTTGTCGAACAGTATTTAACTATCTCAAATTTATCCATACTTTTCCAATCAACAAAATAGGTCAGAAATAATGCGAAAAATGATTTGTGTTGTTAACATTATTTTGTTATCTTTTTTAACCATTTTCACTTAATCAGAAGTAATCATTTTACTGCATCACATGAAAAGCATTTTCAGGCGTTTTTTGTGACCGTTTCACATCATTATAATTATGTATATTTTTAAGCATTTTAATACCATTTTACCATTTTGTTCCCTGCCTGGGACCCACAGCCACATTGCTCATCCACACCCACCCACACTCCTGTCTGTCACGGTCTGTGATGGGCAATTAATTATATATTCATTACACGTTCAATAGCTAATTAATTAATTAATAAAAATGTCAGTCATAGTCTGTGGGTGGGGAGTTGGGGTCCAAATTTCTACCCTAGACACTTCAACACTCCTTTTAGATCGTGTTTCACAAAATATGTGAGACATTCGCCGAACCAGAAGATAATATCCAAAGCAACTTGTGGGAAACCGATTATTTACATCGATTTGAGTCTGGAATGCGAGAAAAAAGTTATAATAAGAATACCGCTTTATAAACTAGGCGAACTAACTGCTTTGGATAAGAGTTCTCAAAATGAAGTCACATAAAGCACCGTAAATAAAAAAGTTTAATGTTTTCTCCGTGCTTTTTTCTTTTACTGAGTTATCAAAAAATCTGATCCAAAATCTAGCAAGAATGATATTGCATCATACACCATCGACTATATTATTGAGACAACAAAATAAGTTTTCAGTTTCATTAGTGCTTACAACTATTTTTTACGCTCAAATATCTTAATTATACACCATACATGTGGTGCAATTCATTTTTGCTTTTGAAAACAACCATTTACCAACCCCTGCTTGTCTTAATAAATACTTTTAAAAAATCAATTTTACAAAGATTCACCAATCATTCAATGTCTCCATCATTAGAAAAAATATAACGAAAATTTATGCTCATTGTAGAAAAGAAACAAAATACTCACTGCAACAACAATGTTCCTAATTTTATATGTTAACGATATTTCTTATTAAAAAATGACAAAAATGCTGTTCCAATCTCAACTAGATTCCAAACTCATCTGCCACATACGCATGAAGTAACTGGTTGGAAACTAATTATTCCTATCGAGCAACACAGAGAAATGTTTTGTTCATGTATACTGTTACATATAGACGTTGCCATTGGAGGGAAATTTTGCGTAGAAAGTTTTCGATTTCATCTAATAAAGTATCGTGGAAAGGTTACTAGATGTCACACTATCAAGAATGAGCTTGGCAAGATGAATGCATGAGCCAATTGAGAATGATTTGAGAAAGAGATCAATAGGACAATGATCCGTTAAAGAAGGTTAAACAATTCAATCTATGTTCGGTTTCACAAGTTCTTTACAGCGATGACGAAAATTGGTCTTCGATATCGAAGACCAATTGAGTTTGAGGCGAATATTTTGACTAGTGAATAGATTTTGAAATTGGATGCTTAAATGCAAAAATATTTAATAGATTTTTCAGCTGTCAAAATAATGAAATATTTCGTAGATCATTTCATTTGAAATATCTTCGAAACCAGTACAACAAACTGCAAAAGTACTTTCGACAGTATCTCATTCAATTCCAGTCGATAATTCATATAGAACCTAATTCCAATTTCTTTATATGGAGCACGTTTGTTTCGTTTCATTTTATACAATATCGACATTCATCTAGAATAGACGCGTCCATAGAAAACTATTAAGGAGGAACCCAATGTAAAGAAAAAACAATTTCGTTGCAATAAAATCCTATTCAAGCAATTGTTTCTCAGAAAGAGGCGCCCGACACTATCCTTCGTATCGGATCTGATCTAAAATAGAAATTCGAATCTATATTGTTTCTAATCATTTTCATGCTATTAGTTATCATCGCTGTGTTTAAAAACGAAGGAATCAATTTCTTCTCATTTCATAGACTAAATGACAACGAAAATGCCGAAGATTGACTTACTAAACTCATTATGAATTTTTGTCTCTTCTTGGCATTTATTCAGTCTTTTAGTTTTCTACTCCCTGTGAATCTGAGCAATTTTTTGCTAATAATTTTTGAAATCAGTTCGCGTGCAAATTGTTCAATCAAAATAGGTTTGATGCACTTTTTAAGTGATCAATAAGATATAGACGATTGACGACTTCAATGCAAAGATGATAAAGTATCGAGGACAAAAGAATGGTTTCTGTCCACTGGGAATGATTGATAACTTCTGGATGGGATGCACTAAACAGTTAAATAAAGGTAGCCAACAATGCCAGAAGATAATGAATAAAATCTCGTCAGAGTGATCTCCGATGTGATATTCGAAGATCTTCTTACGAGGGAACCTCTCCAACTGATACCCTCTGTTTGAGCTCATATTTTGCCCATTAGCAGGGCTCATAGAGTACAGAAAAACTCCAAAATGGTTCGTGCCATTGCTTCTTTATTCCTGAGAAACAACTATAACAAGTTTCTCTAAAAATGGCATTATCGTATTTTTTTTTCTAAAAAGTATTTTTCGTATCTCAATAATGAAACATTTTTACTGATTGATGTTTTTTTTACAAATTCATCTTTCGTATGGCTACTTGTAAGAGAAGAAGATTATCAGCTAGTTATTTTAATCTAAATAAGAGGAAAAAATGATACATCTGTATGTGTACAATGAAAACAAAATAAAAGATCGAGAAAATGATAATCAGCCTAATGATAATGATGCTCCAAATAGAAATGAGTGAAGCACAGCTCTTTTTGGCACCAGGAACGCGGAATCATCGGTCAATTAGTACAACCTTTTTCATGACATTTATCTGTTTGAAATGTGAAACCAATATCTTTCGCATTTTGGAATGGACGTGGATTCTGCTTCAAGAAGCTGCTCTTATACCACGCAAACTTGATCATTGATTGAAATGCTTTTGAACACATTTGCGAATGAACTAATCATTGCAACTTGATCAAATTATTACGTTCTGACAAATTTATATCGATTTCATTTAATCGTATGTGGTCATATATACGTCGTACAATTTTCTTATGTTGACGATTATAATAAACATCAAGTGGCTGAATCATCGACGTGGTTTTTGGTGGAATTACAGTATGTTCGAAATGTTTTAATCCTTTATATACTTCTGGATGAACCTGGTGTGGTAAACTATCAACAAGTAATAATGTTCTTGATCGTAGATTTGGAATTAAACATTGATCACGCCAATAGGTGACCAGAGATGATGTCAATTTACCACTTTTAGAACAAGTGAGAACAATATTCTTTGCATTGAACAAATTTTTCTTCAAGTTTTCACTAATATGACCTGATACTTCCTTTAAACAAATATAAAGTGGATTAGAAACACTGCCTTCCATTGTTATTATTGGTTGGATAGTATATGAATGAGTTGCAGCTCCAAGTGATCGAACAGAACTCCAAGGAGATCTTTCGCCACTATGTGTTAATGTACTATCGCCATGAGGTTCTAACTCAATACCAATGTGTTCCGTATTCAATACTGGGTTAGGACCATATCCTTCAATTATTTTATTTGTTGCCAAGACGAAAGTTTTAGCTGATTGCTTAATTTCTTCTTGATTTTCAACAACCTTTTTTGTGACCAATTTTGTAATTCTTCAACTACATATTTCATGACGATATTTAACATTCCCTAACCAGCATTCAGAAGCTTGAAAATCATTTAAATTTAATTCACGAGCTTTTTTAAGACTCCATCGTCGTAAATCAATATCATATACAGATAAATATTGATGTCGAGCATGTTCAAATTGATCATCAACATAAATGTCGACATTATCCATTTGTTGCTTCTTTGTACCACCTGCTTCTATATAGTTACGGAAACAAGCAATACATTTTGGATTTGGTACACGTCGGAAAAGATGTTTTATTGTTTTCCATTTTCTTTTTCGTTTGCCTGTATTTGGATCTATTTCATCAAAACATTCGACCACACGGTTCATATAATCGAGTGAAAAATGATTTTGTAAATTAAGTTCATCAATAGGTTCATAATCAGCATCTTCGACGGTGTCAGGATAGTTATGTGTGAATGTTGATGGTAAGAGATCTCCTGAATCCTGATCATCCAATTCATCGTCATGGTCCAATGTGGTTTCAGTTTCAAACATATGACAAGTGCTTTCCAAAATGGAATTCAAACATTTATAGAGGTTAAATGCAATGTGTTCTTCATCAACACTGATTACAGATGGTGAATTACTGAATAAGTTATCGAATGTTAGACGTGATAAAACGTTTAACACGTTATGAGGATTGATCATGTTTTATTGTTGATGTATGTGAACGATGATTAAATGAAAAACGTATAATTTACTACTGTGCACTTCTTTACTACAACTTTCTATTTGTTATTGTAATCTGCTTATTCTTTTACTTGAATAATATTGTTACAGCTTCTTGCTTCATGATTCATAGCGCATTCTTTCCCGATACAGATTAGTTTACTCTCTTAACATTCTTTAATTCTTTTTTCTTCTTCTCTCTTCTTATTACAGCATCTTCTTCTTGGACGAGCATAAGGAAGGATACGGATTAATATAATAGTTTTTTTCTGGGTTGTGATAAGGTGTATCGAAACAAAAAAATTAAAAAAATGATTACGCTAATAAATACATTGCCAAACAAATGTAAAGATGTCTCATACAGAAAAAATCGTTACGGCCGTCATAGTCATGACCGTTGTGAAAAGCACGTGTATCTTTTCTCTCATACTTTCGCATGTTTATTGTGTCTAAAGAACAAAGATGAGACAGAAAAAAAAGGTCGTGGATAAACAACTGATTTCGTTCACAGATATGGAAAAATACTACCAGAAATAATGGGAGAGTCGGTTAAAGAGTGTTGTCTTCCTTGTCTGTCGACCATTAACTAACATATAGTTAGTCTTTCTACGGAAAGTAGCCGTACGAAAGACGAATTTGTAAAAACAAATCAATCAGTAAAAATGTTTCATTATTGAGATACAAAAAAAAACTTTTTAGAAAAAAATACGATAATGCCATTTTTATAGAAACTTGTTATCGTTGTTTCTCAGGAATAAAGAAGCAATGGCACGAACCATTTTGGAGTTTTTCTCTACTCTATGAGCCCTGCTAATGGGCAAAATATGAGCTCAAACACAGGGTATCAGTTGGAGAGGTTCCCTCGTAAGTATATTATCGAATCAGTTTGAGTTGACAAAGATCTATTTCTAGCGTGGAGCGAATAGATTTGAACATTACTGATGTTTCGAAGCGCGCTGTTTCTCGAGGAATAAATCCTATTGATTTATTTTTCAGCCATCATTCCGTTATACAGTCTATATGATCTGAAACGAGAGGAATAAATGGAAGATTTCTTTTTACAAAAACAATTTCAAAGTACTCAACAAACAAATAAGTACTGTGAAGCACTTACAACAATAAACTATATTAATGAAAAACAAATCAGCTGATCATCAGCTAGTTTAATTATAATCAACAAACGATTGAACAAGAAAACTATATAATCCCGCCTTTTTGATATATCGTACTTCTGTTATCTGTACATTATTGTAATGTTGTGCAAATTGTGCAATAGTAATCAGCACGATATTTGCTCTTCTTTCTTATTACTCCATTAATCGATATACTTCTTCATAAGCTAGAAAACAAGCAGCATTGATCGGTATCGCTTTTGAGATTCCTCTAAGAAAACCACGATAAAATGTCCGTACACTATTTTGATGTTGATACATTTGTTTGACACAATCGATGTAAGATGTATATTTACGACGTTCACGTCTCAAATCATCTGATTGAATTTCAGATCGAATCCGATTCAATGGATAACAAATTGACCAGGCGCAAAGGCCACCTGCTGCTCCACTGAACAAAATACCCATGCGTAAATGTTTATCGTTCTTTGTATAGCCAAAGATTCGAGTATGTGTTTGGTAAAGATGATTTTTCACATATTCATAACCGCCAAAATAAAACATCGACGTAGGTATTGAAAAAATGAGATTCGCGAAGAATCCTTTATAAAAACCACGCAAACCGCCATTACATTCATAAATATATTTACAACAATCTTTTACGTGAAAATCGAATGCGTGTGTATGACGAAGATACAAGTGTCCTTCAATCTGTCCATTAACAAGGCTAATAGGTGTTTCAATGAACGATGATCCGAAACCAGCGAGAGCACCTGCCAGAAAACATTTTCCAATTGTACGCTCACTATCATTCTGGCGGTTATGGAGATGTCGACTTATTTGTCCATATAATAAAAACTGTGTCGACATAACCAATGCTGGACTGATCAACGGTAAGCTTAAATTACTTCGATAGAATCCATCGATCAAACCTTGCTTTTTGTAAATAGATAGAATAGAATAGAATATATTTTTATTAGATCCAAGTAAATTGTTTTGTAGGTGAATAAACAATGTTTCCAAAGGATGTGAAATAATAGCAGCTGTTATACCACAAACACCACCAGCAATTACATCTTTCATTATGGGACTCGAAATTAAGGACATATTTCACGTTCGTAGATTTATCGGTACTTCTTCAGATCAACAACACCCTCACTTGATTAGTAAATGATCTGGTGATATAAAGCATGGCGAAAAAATGGCAATCATCTGCATTTTATTTTTAGTTTGATGAAGCTCAAAATGATTGGATGAAATTTTCACAAAAAATCAAGTTAATTTTTCAGACTTCAAATGTCTTGGGTTTAGTTTTTGATGAAAGACCTTTTCGAAGATATGAATAAAATTTTGTTGTAGATGGCGGTAGTTTTGAAGATATTTCGAAAACTGCTTAACATAAGAGATTGATCGGTTTTTTGTTACAATCAGAAAAATTAGATTGATTTTTTGTGAAAGTTTCATGCAATCATTTTGAATTTCATCGAGCTCAGAAAATCAACAACATATGTGGTAAGCTGTCAGACCCTAGATGAGTCATACTTTTGTTATCAGATTGCAACGTCATTTATGCACTTTATCTAGAGTTTCGGGTCGACGATTCCGATACTATAATTTAGGCATCAAAAATTTCTAAATTTTATTTACAATTGAATGATGTACTTCTGATTAGGGGGCGATTTCTCTAAATTTAACTTTTAGACAAAAAACATTTTGCTTGTGCAGCCATCTCTAATTTTCGTCACTGTGGTGGTTTGTCATAAGCAGAATGAAAGCTTATGACAAAATCAACGCCTTCATTAGTCAACAAATGTTCTTTTGATGATGACTATGATGAAGATACAAAAGATGATTTTCAAATGAAAAATAAAATACATTTTGATAGCGAAGATAATGGTGAGGATGATGAAGATGCACTTGAATGTATAAATGAAAATGAAGTAAGTATCAACTTTATTATTGTTCTACATTCATTTCTATTTTATTTTTATTTAATTGCAGTGATAAAAGTTATTCTTCAAATAATGATGAAACTCAATCAGTTGCTATGGATATGTTTATTTACATAGAGCACAGTTATTGTTATCGATCAACATTATGTTCATCGAATAATTACAATAATGCAACGAAAAACATAACATCATCACCATTACATTCATCATATACATCAAGTCTATTCGATAATTCACGGTCACCAATTGTTCCAAACACAAATAAAAAAAGTATCGAATACTGTTTATAACATAACGAAAAGTTTCGGTTGTAATAGAAAAAATTTACCATTATTTCTTTTTTCGATTTAGAACCTGAATAAAACAAGAACATCTACACGGTCAACCAAAGGAAAACCAGTAAAATCAGATGTTAATATAAATGCATCTTCACAAAGTACACCAAGTCAGGTTAGATTGGTTTTAAACGTTTTTTTTATTGGATCTCACTAAAAAATTTTCATTTAGATTATTCCACGTAAAAAAATCGTGATATACCGGTATTCTGATCTTTTTCATAAGATCAAAAATTTATTTTGGTTTTTTTTGTTTCTTTATGCTTAATTATTTTTCTACTTTTTCTTTCATAGACAGATATTTTTCATGTTATTAATGTTTCTATGTTTTATATATTTTTTCGAACAAAAATAAAATATTTCTTCATTTAATGAACTTTAAAAAGAACATCATCAGGGTGTGGGTGTGGGTGTGGGCATTAAAAAACAGAAGAGAAGTTCCTATCCACACCCACCCACACCGACACCCACACCCTTTCAACAATTTATTGAAACGTAGCTGGTACGTCTTTTGTAGAATAATTTTTCTGTTTTTTTTTCAGAAAAGGTGTGATAGTGCTAAAATTCGGTATTGACTAACTTTTCATAGGAAGGATATTAGAACCTAAAATTTTAGGATTAGTGGTTTTAGACATTGAAGTTTTGAATGCGCAAAAAAAATCGAAAAATAAAATTTTATCGAGTGCCTCGTATATTGGAGCGATGATTGACCAGCTCGTGAAAGCTCTCGTAAATAGTTAAGCTATGTAAATCCTTAAATAGCTAAGTAAATAGCTAAATAACTATAAAGAACTTAAATAGCTGTATGCTTATTGAAAAAGTGTCTCTTTTGAGAAGCTACGCTCATTCATTTTATTTCTGATTCAGTTATAAGGGTGATTCCATGGAGTTTATACCACTTTGGTGGAAGTGGTCTTGGATTTTCATTTTCGTCTTCTAATTCACTCGAAGACAGTCTGAAAAGCATCCAGCAAAAAAAAAATTACGAACTTGTCCAATGAATAGTGAGCACCCGTGGACAACACGAGGTACATGTACAATTTTTTTATAGTGAGATTTT